CTTTCATGGCACTTCAGTTGTGACGTTGCTGAGTCTTCCGAACCGGTGTGCTCGGGCAAGTTGCTGTGCAAGTTTTGGTTGTGCGCGTTCATGATTTGACCTGCTTGGTTGCTCTTGCATTTCCATATTGCATAGGCTGCTGCTATTCCGCAGCTGCTTTGCTAATTCTTAGATACATGGACCCGCTCACATCGACATGGACCATGGTGATCTACTTTCGTCTCTGACATCTCAGATCAGCATAAGCTTAGACGGACAACGTCGCCTTGAGACCTCAGCTCAGGCAGCTCAAACCATGCTTGCTCGGGCTCTTCGCCAACCCGCCAACCCGCCACCTCCTCATTTGCCTCGTGCTCCTCCGCCTGTGACGCAGAATCCGCCACCTCCTCTACTACACGTACCACCCCACGCAGCACCTTCAGAACTACCACCACCACCTCCACCTCCTGAACCACTACCTCCTCCTGCTTCAACATCCACAGCCAAGGCCCACTTGTCACACGCCGCCAAAGCCAATCCCCCGAGCACTACGTTTACAGCTGCCACGCTGACTCCGCATGCGCGCAATGACATCGAGGCATTGAGTGTTTCACCAGACGCTTCACGTGAAAGGAATCGCAGGGGACGCTCTCGCCGAGGCCGGCGGACCTCTAGATCAAGATCCAGACGCAGGCACTCAACTCACTATGTGCCCAAAAGCGGCCCGGCCACGATTTCATACTCAAAGTACCGCGGAACCGACCGCATGTCAATCTGTAGAGGATGCGACATGACACAATTCACAAGCTTGTGCGCTGCAAAACAGCGGAAAGAGGATCCGGCAAGGAATCAACGTCAACATAAGGAGAAACGAAACCAAGTCATGCGCAATTTTCTCCACAGGCCGTAGTGTAATTATCATCGGCCGCAGTGTGCCCAGCATCGGCAATGAACATGTTCGGGTTTGCGTCTGGCGCATGGTGCAAGGCATCGTCGATGACCAGGAGGAAGATATTGACATTGGTCGGCATCGTGTCCAATTTGTTCTCGGAGACCTGGATCGTCTCGTTGAGAAAGCGGTGAAAGGTCGACAGCGATGAGTTGACTTGGATTTGTGAGATCTTCGGGATGCTGATCTGCTGCCGTGAAGTTTAATGCCTCGCTGGTCACGTCTGGGCGAGGCGCCTGGGGATAGAAGGAGTCGAGGAAATGGGCAGTGTTCACGACGTTCTTCAGGCAGCTGGCGGATGGTGATGTTGAGGAAGGTGCCAAATACGCATGATGTCTGACTGTGATTCATCCGTGATGTTATGTGGGCACGTCATCATAGATAATGGAGGTGCTGGTGGTGGTGGTAGTGGCGGAGGAGGCGGTGGAGGGAACGGTAATGGTGCATCATCAGGTCCACGCTTCAACCGGGCCAGCTAAGGGGCCAAGACGGGAGGCGTCCTCGCGATGTGAGTCTGGGTACTCTGATCCATTGTGCCTGCAGAACGAGTACACAAACACAGAAGTAAAAGGGCATGCGCGACTCACTTACGCACCTCAGAATGTATTTTCTACGGTTAGACGGTGATCTTCTGGTACGTCTTCCAGGCTTGCTTCACTTCAGCAGTGTCCTTCGTGAGCAACTTGGCGATGGACTTGTACGTTGGGCGCGAATCCTTATCCGTCTTGCGGCGAACCAGTTCATCAAGTTGAATCTGCGTCCAAGCCTGGAATGGATGCGGATAGTCAGTGCGCGTGGCCGCATGAAATGAGTCAAGCAAGCAAAAAACCGTGCTGCGCTCGAGGGGGAGGACGTACTGATGCCGCTTCTGGATCTGGAGATATGGAGTCGGAAGACGATGAAACCGAGGACGTTGGCGGCGGAGAGGTACGAGGAGGCGCAGCGGAGAGTAGGTCAGCATCACCACGACGGTCAGAAACTGTACTTGGCTCAGGTGCAGGGTGGCGAGGAAGTCGTCGATTAGAGGGCGGAACCATATACCACGTCGAGGATGTGTCCATGGGTTGAAGTCGAACAGGAGTACGTGATCGGACACGTTCTGAATGAGGGGACGGGGGGTCCGCCACCAAACGAGAGCCATGGCGAGAGTTGCGTGGAGGTGGCAGGCGGTCAATGATGTGTGTGTTAGATGTGTTGGTACTCCGCAAGGCCATGGCATACTGCAGCGAGTTGATGGCAACGGTCACCGATGACACCAGCGTCTGCAACGTTGCCAGGAAGTCTGCTACAAACACATCAGACAGGTGCATGACGGATACAAAGAAACTCACTATCAAGTCCAGCACGAAATTGCTAACAAGAGACAGCGGTCAAGCAAGAAAAGCAACTACAATGCGCGAACCAGGAATCATTTTCCACAAGCCATGTGATCAGCGTCCACGAGCTAACCCTGAAGATCGGCAGGCAGGCATCGCCTTAATGAATGGATCAGAATATTTACACCAGGCTCCTGGAGATTGCCAAGTTCCATGGCCACACCACCTGACGCTCTTCCATCTACGTTTCGAGAATGGAAGAAGTTTACATCTTTGAAACATACTACATTCTAGATGGCACTGGAGGCACTTCTCCCGATGAACAACTTCGCACGACATCTTTGCCCACGCACTGCTGCTGGCATTTTTGCGACTGGAACACACTTGGGTGGCAACGACTACTACCTCCCACATCACGTCGGCCTCAACCACCTCACGCTCGGGACCAATCTTCCGATTTTTCATCGGCCTCGGATGGTGTTTGGAGAGAACCCTCGCCACCTCGTCGAACATTATCTTTGGAATGCGTGAGTGTTGACTGAATGATGGTTGTCACGGGAGAAAAGGTATGGCGCATTGCAGCTCTGAAGTGCAGGTTGCATTGACTCATTTCATCTGCTTGTTGCAGTTGTCGGTTGCTCATGCATTTCATGTGTCCTCGTGCATCAGTTTCCTGGTTTCTCGCGTCACCGTGTGACCGTAACTGCTTGGAGTGTAGTCTTCGGCATGGCGTGGGTGGAGTGGTGTCCAGATCCTCGACAACCTGACCATCAATGGATTAAGATCTGGGAGCCTGCGCCCTGGGAGATTGGGACGGTTACTGATCCCATCCCGCCCCACGCACATCGCGAATGGAAGCGTGAACCGCCTGATGATGACCGCAGTGAACGGCAACCAGGCGAGATTGGACCACTGAAGGGTACCGCCGGGTTGCTCCTCCTCAAACTGAACATCAACATCGAGGACATACTGCTTGGTCTTCTTCTTCGGCTGACGTTGCCACCGCTCTGGACAACATCTCGCATGAAGCTGCGGCGGTCATTTTGAACCGGATCCACGCTAATCCCTCCGCTGAAGTGACCTGGGGTGACGTCATCGCTGGCCTCGAGCGTCTTCGCTCAGCTGCGCCTTCCAACACAACAATGACGCTGGGACATCTCGCCCTAGCAGCCGTCCTGAGCCTTACAACACAGAGCTGTCTGGTATTGACAATACTTCATCTCCACGCTATGCGCCATTTCGTCGGACCCACCCCGAGCGCACCTACGCGGCCTACTTTTGAGTTGTTACCGGATGTGTGAGTTCGCTGCCGGCTCTTGAAAGCTGGGTCCATGCTTTGACGCTCATGTTCAGCTGTTTTCGGTGCGTAGTGTTTCACCAGACGACGCCATGGACTTTGATCAGCCTGATGATGAACCTCCACGGCCCGTGACACCGCGACTCAACTGGCTGGACATAAACCCCCAGGTCAGGGTCGACCCTTGGGTTGAACTCAGTCGCTTCGCGGGGGAGGATTGGGTCAAGATCTTTGTTTATGAGGAACCTGTCATCCTTGATGAAAACCAGGATTTTTTTCTGGATGGCAACACATATCGGACCTGGAGTCCTGGAGCAAGCGTTGGATAGTTTATGATACGACTCCTGGAGAGTATGAAGACAGCCCCATCTGTGTGCGGTGGACCTTCGTCTGGAGGATTGGCGTTGTCGAGGTTCTCAAGTGTTCTCTCAAGGCAGGACTCCTTTGACGCCAACCTGGACCCTCACGCGCCTTTCCCACTGGACGCGTCTCGTGCGGCCCTTCCTCTACCGGCGCAATTGGCTTCCTCTCGCAGCTTTGGACATGCGCCGCACCGGAGGTTTCATGATCGTGAGCGCGGGGCCCCGACTCCTGAGGACATCCTGGCATCTAGAGTTCGTTCCAGATCACCAGGACGCCCAGGCCAGTCAGGAGCCTTGCTGACCTACCTGTTCTTCCAAAAAATCAGTGCGTTCGCCTCTGCGGGGATATGTTTGTGCCGAGTTCCAGTTTCACCCGAGGGGATCAGGCTTCCAGTGACTGACGTGACCTGGAAGGGAGGTGGCTGGGGACGCTCAGCTATGTACCTGCATCGAGTCGCTCTTGGGCCCTGTCGTGGGCAGCTGGAGGACGCCCCCCTCTTTGCCCGCTCGAACCAAACCCAGTCGACCAAGTTGTACTCGAAGAACCCAGCCGACAAGTTGTACTCGAAGATAAGCAACCTCCCTCGGGAGTTCAAGTGTGTGTGGGTGTGCGTTTGCGTCGGCGTTTGCTTCGGCGTCTGCGTCGGCGTCGGCGTCTGCGTCTGCGTCTGCGTCTGCGTCTGGGTCTGCATCTGCATCTGCGTCTGCGTCTGCTTCTGCGTCTGCGTCTGCGTCTGCGTCTGCGTGTGCGTGTGCGTGTGCGTGTGCGTGTGCGCGTTCGCGTGCGCGTGCGCGTGTGCGTGCGAGCGAGCGAGCGAGCGAGCGAGCGAGCGAGCGAGCGAGCGAGCGAGCGTGCGTGCGTGCGTGCGTGCGTGCGTGCGTGCGTGCGTGCGTGCGTGCGTGCGTGCGTGCGTGCGTGCGTGCGTGCGTGTGTGTGCGCGTCGATGTGTGTATATGTGATATTATATGTGTGTGTAGCGTGCCTCCCTGCACATGTGTGTGTTTGGGTCGTTTTCTTTGGGCAAGTTTGCGAAAAGCAGACGTGGAGGTTTGCGGTTGGACAAGAAGGCCAGGCTTTAACTTGGCGGCCCTGCCAGGACCAGAAGGTCTGGGGAACATGGAGGTGATGCTTCCACAGCACCAGCAGCAGACACCGCTTTTGGTGTATTTCCTTATGCCAGTGCAGGCGGGGACACTTTGAGTTGCAATTGCTTGGGTTTCCAATTGATTTAGTGCGCTTACGACAAAAGAAGAGGTTGTCTCTTTGCCAGTGCTGCGCTGGATCACTGGATCAGCTGTTGGCCAGTCGCAGGCGGTCTGGTTCCTGGCACAGCAGATTCGCACCCCTCCATCGTGTAGGCAAGGGCTGGCTGCCATTGGACTCCGCCGGACTCGAGGGCCAGGGCCAGATGACACGGACGACCACTTGTGCGTGCCTGACCAATTTCGGGGGCAGTTTCCCTGGCGCCCGCAGCTGCAACGCCACCGCTCCTACATCTTGGCGCCTGTCAGCATGCTGCCCGCCATCGAGGCAGTGCAACAAGACGTGATCCGTAATGCGGGGTCGCGTGACGAGAAAAAGGTTGGCCTCAAGCAACGCACTATGATGGGGGGCACCTTGGATGAGCTTGTAAACATTGTCTATAACCGAAATTAAAGTACCACGCACTTTCGGCAGGCATTTCGCCCCGCCGGGCCTAGTGTGGCATGTGGCCTCGCTCCGACCAGAACCAAAAGTTGTGGAGGAAGTGGGCCCAGAAAGTCACCCGCCTGCCTTTGATTTGTTGCGTAAGGGTTGGAGCGAGCTCAAAGGACAAAGATCCCTTGACCACATTTTTCAAGCTGCATGGAGCCGATCGTTTGGGCTGAAGATGAAAGACCCGCGCCAGGTTTGGGAAACCATCAGGTGCAAAGAGTTTCAGGGGAAATCACCTTGTGACCCTAGGCCAAAACGTGGCTTGTAACTCTTCAGCCGGTGAGAAAGTCGCAAGAAACAACTCCGTGACCTTTCGAGAGTCCTTTGGGCAGCTCCTGCAGCTGTCGCGCTATTCAGTGTTCCTCGGAGACACTTTTGGACCAAGGCATGCCATCGCCCTCAGAGCTGCCAGGTGATAGGCTGGGTTTGGCACTCACCATAAAACAAACACGTAGCCGGTATCGCCGACTGCTGATTCACTAATATTTGTTCGTTCATTGATGCAAGGCTTGACGTAAAGCACAGCACATGCAGTGCTAGGATACTGGAATCGGGTCTGAGAGCTGGCCTTGTGCGAGACCTGGCGCCTGCCAGACTTGCAGGCGTTTGGCTGGCGGTGCGGCATCATATGATTCAACAAGTCGTGTGTTTTGCGCTGTCAGCGATGGCTGCTTGTGCTGCTTGAAGCAAATTTGCAGGACGACTCCTACAACTCGAACTAGGCGCTTTGCTCCGTGCTTTATGGCTGGAACAGAGCCAGGGTTGAGGTAAATTGCAGGTTCAAGGAGGCTTTCAATGGTACTTGCTGATTTCTTTGATCCAGCGGTTTCACCCACTTTGGGTTCCTGTAAGACTGGTTTCTTGACTTGAGTAGCAGCCTGCCCTCCAGTTTGGGCAGCTATGTACGGTCTGAGGCTGATGGGCTTCCGTGACTGGGTCAGCGCTTGCAGTCGAGCAAGGCTTGTGGATGCAAAAGGAAGTGACACTTGGCTTTTGACAAGTTAGTTCGCCTTGCGCATCTGGCAATCTTGCAGCTGCCCATTGAATCAGCTTCTGGGAAATCCAAGCTGATCATGGAAACCACAGCAGACTCTCCAGCTTGCCTGAGGAGACAACTCCAAATGAGGAGACGAGTGTTTCACCCCTGAGAGCTTGTCCAAGAAGATTTCGTAGAAGCTTGAGAGATCGGTTCTGTAAGCACGTGTCATCCCGGAGCTGTCCCTCGAAGTCATTCGCTGGATATCTACGAGCATGCATGCTTGAGTCACCCCTGCCAAGCCCTGCCTGTAAACCTCATGATTCCACGGAGCCAATGGTTCTGAATGTATGTGCACAAGCGGCAACAAAGAGTGCTAGTGTGCGTTTCCCTCACGAGCGAATCGCTTGAGACTGTGACACAAAGTAAGATTGTAAGCGCTCTGTGCCAGTGGCTACTTGGTCACTGCCTCCTGAAAACGGCATTTGGGCAGGGCCCAAAGTCGCTTGTTGGTCGAACTCAGCAAGAAGTTCACTTCTCGCCGTTATGGGGATAGCGAGGCCTCCATAAACCAAAGTCAGCAAGTTCTGGGAGCCCTCACAGATTGCACATTTTGGCTTATGGAGCAGGCATCATCATCCTCCGGGCAATGACTGTTGTACTCACCGCCAACATAAAGTTGAGAGAAGATCTGGAGATAGAGTGGGAGTGCAAAAACAACTTGACCGGCGACCCATTTGCAGATGGCAGTTTGCCACACGACGCCAGCTTCGAGCTTTTCAGTGAGAAGCTGGGTAAGCGGATTGCAGCAGTCATTTTCAAAGGGAAAGAGGGCAGTCCCAGGAAAGTCAATCCCTGGGAACTGGTGCTTGATGTGATCCCTGCGGGCAGTGAGGTGATTCTGCACATCACCGGGCCATGCTACCCTTACAATCAACGTTACAAGTTGACCGGCGACCCATTTGCAGATGGCAGTTTGCCACACGACGCCAGCTTCGAGCTTTTCAGTGAGAAGCTGGGTAAGCGGATTGCAGCAGTCATTTTCAAAGGGAAAGAGGGCAGTCCCAGGAAAGTCAATCCCTGGGAACTGGTGCTTGATGTGATCCCTGCGGGCAGTGAGGTGATTCTGCACATCACCGGGCCATACTACCCTTACAATCAACGTTACCAGTTGGCGAGGCAGGTGTATGAAGCTTATGAACGCGGTGCCTTCAACCCGAAGTCGGAGGCTTTAGACCTAAATTGGAGGGAAGCCCCGGTTGACCTGGGACAGTTTGAGCTGAACATCCAGACGCATATCGGCGACAGCGCGCCTGCTCATGTTCGGGAGCATTTTTTGGAAGCGCTGCAGAAGCAAGTATCAGAAGGAGAGACATGGAACTATCTCAATCTCCCATTGCTGCAAAACCTCGACCCGGGGCTGAAGACGTTGAAGCATTGTTGGACCCAAACCGCTGTGGAGCAGGCAGCTTTTTCTGCAATGTGTCCCGTGTCAGTTCGCCCGCCCATCACCTTTTATTTTGTCAAGAATGACCGGGGAAACAATATCGGGATAGACCTGCCGTCCCCCGATGGATCGTGGCCGGCGTCGATGCAGAGAAATCGCAACTTGCAGAATTCACTGAGCTTAGATGATCTTCGCCCCCGTGACCCGAGCAAGATGGCAGGTGTCAGATTTCAGCAAATAGTGCGCTCCATGGAAAGCTCTCCAGAGTTGTTGGCTGATCAGAAGTTCCAGGAGTTCAATCCTTCTGACTTTGAACCCTATCAACTCTTGCAGCTGCTGCACGTCCAATTCCGCCTCGCTCTTGGATTTCCAGCCCTTGTGGAGGAGGGCTTCAACCCAAAGCTGGCATGCGTCTTGGCTCAGATGCTGAGATTGGAGTTCGATGGAAACAGGCTGAAAGATGCGAAAGATGCGAGAGGCTCTTTGTTGCTTCTCACCCTGGAGCAAAAGCCCTCAGAGTCGCAGGAGGAGCTGTGGGAACGCGTGCAGTCCAAGTGTCACAGCCCAGAGGACCTCCACAAACCCGTGAAGTTTATTGTTGAGCTGAAGGCGCCGGCCAAGGAGCGGGGGGGTGAGTGCCAGAGTGAATGTCTTGGGCCGCAAAGGTTGGTTCTTCAAGTGGCTTGTGGCACGCTGTTTGCTTGGCTGCCCGAAAAAGGGGACCGGCTATTTGGCAAGTCGCGCCCAGCGACAAAAAGTTGTTTCCTCACTCCCATATCCGTCACGTTACCCGGGTGGTTGGGCTGGGGTTGTTTTTTAGAGCTTCAGCATTTGTAATTTTGTGGCTACCACTTTTGCAACCGTTTGACCTCTAGAATTGTCCACTCGCCATTTATTTTCCTGGTCGTTAGTGTGGCATGTTCAGCCTTCGAAGCATTCTCTTACGACCAGCGTGCGGTTGTTTGATTCCTTGGGTCTCGCGTGTTTTTCTTTGAACCAAGGGCTGTCAAGCTTGGCATTTTCGTTGAACTGCTCGCTACAATGGTCACACTTTGGATGCTTACGGGGATCTCCAGCTGCCGGTCGTTATCATCTTCTCCACTATTATGATGTGATCTTCTACATTTCTCTTGTCCAACCTTTTAATCTCCAAATGATTTTCAATTATTTGTTGATTGCGTTTCCATATTCGACAATCCCTACATTCATCTTCTTTACCCAAAGCATAATCAATAATATTGTTAATTATTCCATTAGGTAAATGCCATTTGTATAGTTCCACATTATCTTTTTTGAAGTGGCAACAGTCGTAGCATTTCTTATTAATATACTTACTGATTTCAATACCGTTCATTTTCTCACTAATATATTAAATCATTGTTTCCTTAAGTCATGTTCCAAGTTTTAAAGATCAACTTAAATTATTATCAACTTAAATTATTATCAAATTAAATTACGATCAACTTAAACTATGATCAACTTAAATGATGATCAACTTATGTTTTTTACTCCTTCAAAATTCATTCTACTTCTTTCATCATCCATACAACTGTATATTTCTTGATACGCCGCTCTCATTACATCAGCTATATTGTCTTGATTTACATTATATACAAAACTATCACTATGAACATGAAAAGTAAAAGTGCTAAATTCATCGTCTTCATAACAATTGAAATGATGAAGTCTTACAAATAAATTTGCCTCAACTATTATCGTTGCATCATAACCTTCATCGGTTTCAATGCCATCTAACAAACAATCTAAGTTTTAATTTTCATTAAACACTAAATCTTCAATGCTTTTTAATGTTTAAACGTACATTTCTTGAAATGTAATACTCAATTACGTGTCTCTTTATATAATCACCACCCACAACAGTATAGTGCTTTGTCTTTCTTTTTGTTTCAGTTCTGCTAATTCTATATCTTCTTTGTATTCTCTTCAATGTGTCATTATGATTATGCTTTATTTCCATCTATTCTGACTTACCATATTTATAGGACATAATGTTACTAATAACTTCAACAGGTAGCTTATGAATTTCCATTTCACTAATATAAGTCGTTTTCAAAGATTTTATTTTATAGTGACCGTATGCTAAACTAATGTAGATGTCCAACACCTCTTATTTTCATAGGAGTTAAGCGATATTTTTTTGTCCTGACACTATATATCTTATGGTTTTTTTGACCTAATACTATTAAATGATTTATGCTCAACTTCATTAGTTGTAAAACCTTATCATATTCATTATAGGACATATTACGCTTTACTGTGTTTTTCGCTGTGCCTTTGCATTTCTTGTGTTCTTTTTCTTCTCCATGAATGTTAAAAGCATATGTCTTAGGTCTTAATCCAATAAATCTTGTAATAAGTTTGCTACTGCATTCGTCCTTAAGTTTACCAAGAACTTTTTTTTATTCGTAGTATCATAACATTTATGTGATATAGGATAATCTGACAAATCCATTTCATCTTTAATATCATTTAGATCTTTGTAAATGTCATCAGTCTTAGTATGAAATACAGAACTGTCAGTATCAGTATAAACCATTCGAATATTCTCTCCGTATTTAGGTTTCATAACATCATAGTAAAACTTATACATATGTTGCTTACTCAGATCTAAAATGCTCATTCCAATGAATATAGGTTTATCGAATTTCAATTTAGCTTTTTGTTTCTCAACTCCCACTAACTTTTCGTTGATAATATGGCTATGTTTAAATGATGGATTATTAGCACATTTCATAATTCTTGTTTCATCACCAACTATTTCAAAATCTAGATGATTCCTTTTGTCTTCCATTGTTTTCCGAACACGGCATCATTCATCAACTTATAAACATCTTTCTCAAAATCATTCTTGGCATTCTTTCTTTTCTCAGTGTTAAATTCAATGTAAGGTTTTAGTATTTCTTTCTGATCATATTTAACTGCCCTGTGTATTTTCTTTAGTTTCAATCCATGTTGCAAGTAAAAATTGTAAAGTTCTACTATGGACTGCATATTTTCTTGATCATTCAAATTCAATATTAGCCTATTCGTCTTTTCATCTTTAGGTTCTTTATCTCCGTTTAATAATTGTTTATCAGATAGTACATCAGCTTTAACATTCATAATTTCAGGTGCTAATGGGTAATCATTATGTAAATCGTGTAGTTCTTTAGGATATTCTAAATCAACTTCTAAAATATAACCAGTATTACCATTGTTATAGTTTATAATATCTTCTTCTGTTATGTTAGTATCCCATTTCAGTTTTTTGTAGTCAATTATCACGATGACATTTAAGGCCCAGAGGTTCATGAGTTAGGTTCTCATGTTGCAAGGGTAGAATAGCATGTCCGCATGTCATTGCTTTGGCTCAAGACAAAAGGCGCGTTGCTCGCGCTGCCCACAAGTTGAGGGAGAGGTCGCAGTCACGGCGGGGTTCGTTCCTTTTAAGGTCCCGGGTTCCCCCGTTGTTGAGAAAACTGTGTTTCCCTCTCCTTTGAGTGGCTCAAGGGCCGCCACTCGAGCTGCTGGAGCTGCTCCAGACGACAGGGCCAAATGCGATCATGAGGAGCCTGGATACCCGCGACACCGGCCCCGTCATTCGTGCCGAAGTTGTGGCAAATCGGTATGTGAGGACTGCTTCGACCATGACTGCAACGCATGTTTCAAGTGCAGTGATCAATTTCCCTGATGCCGCGCTTGCCGAGGAAGAGGTGGGCGAGATGGTCTGCAGACCTGTCTTGCACACATCTCTTCCTCTGGTGATGTGCGCCGATTTGCTGTTTGTCAGCCCATATGTCTTGGGTGCCTGAGAGCTAATCACGAAGGCAAGACCAAGCATCGTGGCCCCAGCGTAGAGGTGGGAGAGAGAGGCTCCGCCCCAACTCACGACCATCACAATGGAGCCGCCCCTGATCCTGGGTCTGGGCCCGCACATGGAGGTCCGACGCATCGGAGCCCTGAGCCACAGCGAGGAAATGATGGGAGCGGCTGGACCGATGCCGCCTAAGGCAACATCATCGCCGATCATCGGTCGGGCCAGCAGCAGGGGAAATGCCGGTATATATCCCGACCATCCCCAAGCTGGATGCGTCATTACCGGACAAGTTGAGCATGGAACGTCGCAGGGCATAATTCTCTGCCGAGGAAAGGGTTTGCCCCCGATGCAATATCAACGTTAAGTCCAACGTCCCTGGCACACCTCCCATCTTCCAGACCTGTTCGCTTTGCCGTAATTCCTTATGTTCCGCATGCTGCCCCCCATCATCGGGGAGCTGTTCTATTTGTGCCATATCCATTGGCAGAGACGGCATTCTTCCTCCGCATGTTTTCGGGCAGGCGACAAGACCACCTGTATCTTCACTACCATCTGAGGCGAACAAGTGCGCCTGCCCCGCACGAGCTGCGCGACTGGATCATCTCCACTCGGGAGATTGTGAGCAACGCTTTCAGCTATGACTCACCATACGCCATGTCCTGGGTGATGAGCGTTGAGAACGCCAGTGCCATAGAAGAGCTTAGTGTCTCTACCCCATCCTTGATAACAGGTTCAACACTGCACTGAGAAAGTGCATTACCTCGAAGCCCATTGTCGCCAAGATCAGTAGGCTGACTGAAGAGGCTCAGGTCAAGAGGGGAACTAGGCTAAAGAGTCGCCAGATCCTTTTCTGCTTGATTGAGTACTTGCGCCCCGATGAGGTCGGGAGTGAGTCAATCCGTACGAATGAACTCCTACGACTCACCCGCCTCCAAGGAGCCCTTGCCATTTGTCAAGGAATTTCTCAAGTTGAGGCTCACCTGATCCAGTGGCCCTTCCGAATCGCCGCACCGATTGATCACCACGTCCTTCAGCACGTTTTCTTTGAGCAAGTTCGACACTCGCCCTGCCTGCTACCCGATGTGCAGCACTGGGATCGTAATCCAGACGTACAAAACTACGACTGGATTATGAAGGCTGCTCGTAACGCCGTGTCGAGATGGAGAACACGTTACAATGTTTCTGAGATACAAGAACAGATGTACTCTCGGTCTCCTCACGCAGAGCGCACCGCGAATGCCGCTGCTCCTGGAGTACAGCAGCCTTCACCCTTTGGTGATACTCGCAGGACTGGGACCGGTGGTGATCGCCGACCTTCGCCGAACTCACAACGAAGGGATGGACGATCGAGCGAACGTGACCGCGGAAAAACGCGGTCCGATGATCCTCGACGCACCACCAGGTATCGCACTTCTCCTGGCAGGGAGCGCCGCCGGGACTAGCCTGCCGCTCCTGGTGTATGCCATGACTGGCAGAAAGGGCAGTGCCGGCGCGGTTCAGACTGCCGGTTTGCGCATCACGAAGACAAGCCGAAGTCACCTTGCGATGACGGCCCATTCTATCCGGGCTACTGTAGGGAGTGGCTAAATACTCGCAAGTGCACGCGTTCTAAATGCACTTACAAGCACGAGAAGCCACCTCCTGACGTCGCTCCACTTCCTAACAGGCCCAGTGCTCCTGCTGTCGAGCAGGGGGCGATTCATCTAACTCTTACCCCGATGGGCGGATAGACGCCCCTGGAGTTGATGAGGGTTTCTGAGAGGGGCGGGCCGTTACCCACAAGCCTTGCCAGAAATTCTGCTTG